AGCTAAGCAGGGGCAACCTGGCAAGAACTTGGATGGGAGACCTCCAAAGAATACCAGGGTCGGGAGGCAGAGGCAGGCTATCAAGCCACTTCTCTGAATGTCCTCCACGCCTCATGAGTCACCAGAGGTGGCCACGACTTCCAGGCACTGGCGCACAAACACACACAATGCAAAAAATACCTAAAAAGAAGAAGAGGAGGAGATTGGATTTATACCCCGCCCTTCGCTACACAAAGGTGTCTCAGAGCGGCTTACAAACTCCTTTCCCTTCCCCTCCCCACAACAGGCACCCTGTGAGGTAGGTGGGGCTGAGAGGGCTCTGACAGAAACTGCTCTTTTTCAAGGACAGCTCTTATCAGAACTACGGCTTGCCCAAGGTCATCCAGCAGGTGCAAGTGGAGGAGTGGGGAATCAAACCTGGTTCTCCCAGATTAGAGTCCGCGCACTTAACCACAACACCAAACTGGCAGAACCTTACTACAGATACATTTCATTTTTCCCTCTAACATGCACACTATAAGGACTGTAAGGAAGGCCGAGCGATGATGAATGGATGCTTTCGAATTACAGTGCTGAAGAAGACTCTTGAGAGTCCCCTGGACTGCAAGGGGTTCAAATCAGTCAATCCTAAAGGAAATCAACCCTGACTGTTCCCTGGAAGGCCAGAGACTGAAGCTGGAGCTGAAATACTTTGGCCACCATATGAGAAGGGAGCACTCCCTGGAGAAGACCCTGATGCTGGGAAAGACTGAAGGTCAAAGAAGAAGGGGGCGGCAATGGATGAGATTGCTAGACACTATTATCGATGCAACGGACATGAAGTTGAGCAAACTCCGGAGCACGACAGAATACAGGAGGGCCTGGCATGATGTGGCCCGTGGGGTCGCGAAGAGTCAGACTCGATTGTGCGACTGAACAACAACAACAAAAACACACACAAATCCAAGTTTCCAGTCAATATGGCTCTGGAGATGTGCTTGAAAGCATGTAGGCATGAGGGCTCGATTGTGCGACTGAACAACAACAACAAAAACACACACAACTCCAAGTTTCCAGTCATTATGGCTCTGGAGATGTGCTTGAAAGCAAGAGGAATGCGAGCTCCAGGAAAAGTATAAGTTAGTATAGGCATTCCCAATGCGGTGCCTGTGGGCACCTTTCTTAGCGCCCGCCAAATACTTTTAGAAAGTGGGCAGGGCTAGGTGGAGCTCCTCCCAGCAGGGCTTCTGATTGGCTGTGCAAGATCAAAAGATACCCCGTTACACAGAATTTCTGCCTGAAGGGCAGAGGAGTCACTGCTGGAGTTTTATATAACCTTGATCTAGAGTTGTATATAACCTCAATCCCTGACTTTTTGTGGCTGGGCTCAACTCCTGTGGCAGCCATTTTGTGACTGCCTCTGCCTCTGGCGGCATCCATTTTGTGATTGGCTCTGCCTCCGGTGGCAGCCATCTTGTGACTGGCTCCGCCTCTGGTGGCAGCCATTTTGTAATTGTACCCACCACCCCATGTCAGGATTCCACAGGTGCCCACAGGCACAAAAAAGGTTAGGAATCCCTGAGTTAGTGGGACTGCTATTTGTAAAAGAAACCAGAAACAAGGCCCCTGTTTTTAGGGGGAGCAGTTTCCCTGCCCTTCAGTTACAAATTCTCCATACCACGAATGGCAAACTTAGAATTACAATGGCAGCAAAAAACTCACTACTTCAATGGTCGGCTCTCGCTGCCACCATCGCAGCAACTGTCTCCCACGATTGCACAAACCCAGCCGGGAAGCAGCTGCGAAGTATGTTAACAGTCAGTGCTAAGATGCATACTCATTTGAGGAGAACATGGGTCGGATCCGTTCTCCTCCACGCTAGCAGAGGTGCCTCCCTCCAGCACAAAATGCCTCTGCCTGACACAAGGGGCTGCTCTCGTGTCGGGAGAACACTCCTCGTGAGAAAGGAAGACGCCTCTACTAGCACGATGGATCCACAGAAGACACTGCACCACCTGTGCCAGTACCTGGGAGAATCCAATCAACGTTCATCAAATCAGAAGGACACGCCAGCCCAATTAAGATTGCGAATATAAACCTGGCCTACATTCAAGCTGCTGCATTCGGCAGATGCCGCAAGCTTAGAGGACTGGTGTCCTGGCTTGCAGGCTCCGAATAGGAGGCGTCAGAAGTCAAGCAAGACAAGAGTCCTTCAGGCAAGGCAGGCAAGGCAGAGTTCTTCAGTCCAAGGTCAGAGGTTCCGCAGACAGGCCATCCTCAAAGGGGGAGCGCAATGCTGTCTTGGGAACTCCTTGCTACTCTGAACAGATCTGTATCGAGTCCCGCTATCAAACAATGGGGAATTTCAGACAGCCGAGATATTCCGGTTCAGGAACTGTTCCCTAATGGTTTCTGGTCTGACATTTCAAACAGAACCGTTTTAGTAACGGTTCCCTACCGGAATATATTTTCATGTTCAGACAGAAACGCTTCTGTCCCGTTAGGGGAAGCGTTTCCGAACCGTTTTACCTGCAAACTGCTTCCAAGTGGTCTTCACTTTTCTATACCGTTTCTGAAGTGTTACGGGGTGCTGTGTAAAATGCCCCGTAGTGCTTCCTCCGGCACCGCTTTGTTTTCCCGCCCTTTTCCGGCTGCGCGGGCGATCTGTCTTTTTTTTTTTTGAACGTTTGTATTAGAGTGGTATAGCGCTATAGCACTCTAAAACGAACGTTCAAAAATAAGAATAAAAGGACAGAGATTGCCCGCGCAGGCGAAAAAGGACGGGAAAAGTTGTGCAGTCTGAAATGCCAAACCTCTTCAGTGACGGCTCCTTACCGGTAGGGGAAAGGCTGTGTGAAATGGCAGCTCTGTGCCGGTTTACCCCAAGATGGTACAATAACGGCTTAAAAACAGCTTTAAAAGGCTAATGTGAAATTCCCCACTGTTATCGAACAGCCAGCACCCTCTTCCCGGACGGCCACACCCTCCCCACAGTGTTCTTTGCAATCCAGCCTCAAAAGCACCCCCCGGGGCAGATACTCACAAGGACATCAACAGCGAGAAGCCGGCAATGTACAGGTTGCGCTGGGCTCGGAAGAGTTTCATGTGGAAGTGCTCCACGGCCCCAGGGTTGTTCTGCAGATTCACTTTCTCGGTCACATCGTCGTATTTCCGGATCTCCCGAATGGCATCTGCAAGGCGGCACAAGAGACAGAGCTCTGCACGTCAGTGAATTTCACAGGCAAGCCCCAGCTTAAAAACACTTTAGCTCCAGCCCCAGTTAAACCTTCTGCTACAAGATACAGAGTTTAACAACTCCAGAAGAGTAGCCGTGTTAGACTTAGGGTGCGGTCAGACGGGCCGTTTAGTCAGCTTTCAGCCCGCATCAGAAACGGATTTTATCTGCGTGATCACACAGTCAACATCTGCCTCCCATCCCCACCCGTCGCTTTCCGGCTCAAGACTGCTTTAACCCGGAGTATTTTGATACCAGGTCCCAAAGTGGTGTTTTCCTGATTCTCCGGCTCCATCCGCATTTTCCCCCTGTGTGATCACTCCTCCGGTGTCGAGCCACTTCCAATTTAAACCCCTTCCCCGCTCGAAAGCTGCCTGAGGCTTCCGCTTTTCGTCCGCCATTTTTTCCCAAGCGTATGCGGTGTGCGCATAGGTGGAGCTCCACCTCCGCATTGTTAAAAATAATGTTTAAACAGTGCCTAGTTTTAGCGTTTAGATGAGTTCAGGATCCACGGAGGCCATTTTCAGGGTAAATGTTTAAAGGGAAGTGTTCCTTTAAAGTTTAAAGGGAAGTGTTACAGCAGTCGGGTTGAAGTGGAAATCGCTGTCCTGCGCACGTGCGAAAAATGTCTGCCTCTGTGCATGCCCAAACAGAGAGAGAGGAAAAACAATACCGACGCACGCTCCCGTGTGTGGATGACGGGGAGCGATGTGGCTGCGCAGCGATCCGGAGCAAGGAGGTGAGTGTGATCGCGATTCTCCAGGTTAAAGAAAACCGCATCGGAGCCGGAGCAATTTAAACCGCTCCCAGCACACCGTCTGATCGCACCCTTAGAGATGTGAAGGCCCAGAGAAAGGGATGGGAAATTTCAGACAACAGGTTCTTCTAAGGAGACAGATCCAGACAGGTAGCTGTGTTATTCTGTCCGTAGCAGTAGAAAAGAGCAGGAGTCCAGTAGCACCTTAAGGACTAACAAAATTTGTGGCAGGGTAGGGCCTTTTGTGAGTCAGCGCTCACATCTTCAGATAAGAAGAATCTGATGAAGTGAGCGGTGACTAACAAAAGCTCACACCCTGCCACAAATTTTGTCAGTCTGTGAGCCA